AGAAAAAACTTTTCCATCCTTTACCTTTATTTTAGCAAACTCAACATAAAAGCATGTTGCTGATTGCTGCCTTTGAAGAATGAAAATTATAGGACCTCTTAGTTTTCACACATTTAATAAAAAGGGGATAAAAATTGGTCGCCATTTAAATAATCAGTTGTGACCTCAGAGAAAACTCAAAATCAGAACCAGTCAGGAAACCTTGATGAAAATTTCTGGGTAATTTGCAAGAAGTCAGACTGTTTTAAACTGGGTAATTTTAAGCCTTAAAATAAATATATAAAAAAAGGTTTGCAGGTGATAAAATATGAAGATTTCTTTGCTTTGCAGGGATTTCAGCAGTTAAACTACCACTGAGACAGAGAGCAGAGGAAACACCCAAGAAAATGGGATGTTCATAGCTGTAAATGTTCCAGCTTAACGATCAAAACAACGACTGGATCATTTCTTTAAAATATCTACTCTCCTTAGGATGAAAAAAGTAAAGCAGTCAGCTTCATTTCAGGCCAATTGGATTTAAAACTTATGGAAGATTAATGCAGCATAGATCTGCAGTTTAATCAGCCCTTTAGACTTTGCAGCTTTAAGCCATTACAACCCAGAAGATGAGACATATGTAGACGGCACAGGTAGAGGTTCTCCTAAAGGGTACGAACCCGCAGTATAATCAAAGTCTCTGCCAAATTACAGGCTATAACCGCCGCTGAGCAACAGTTCAATCAAGGGCTAGCAAAGAGTTCACCCATTATACTAAAATTCTTAAATCACAGAGCAAATTCCAATGTAAAACGTCAACATGAGACAGCAGAGGGAGGCTCTACTCATTCAGGACATTCTAAGTTACTGTGTAGAAAAGAGCTCCTTTGTTTACTGCCCTGAAAAAGCTTTCAGGGGAGAAATAATGATAGCTCTCAGTCAGCTCACTGCATATTTGAGATGTGTGGCTTAAATAGAAACGTTAAGTGGATGAAAACAAAGGCGGGGAGGCTGGTTTTTTTTCAGATGTGCCTGAAAAATGATTAATTATTTAAAGAATAATCTGGATCTAGGAGTGTGTCATCAAGTCAAAGAACTAATAAAAAACAATGGAAGGCAACTCATTCATGTCTAAAGCTACTGAAGAGGATTAGGGCCACTGAAAAAAAAAGTTAACTGATTTTTACATTTAATTTCAGTTTAATCTCAGAATTCTGACTTTTTTCCCATATTAAAGTCAGAATTCTGACTTTAGTCTCAGAATTCTGGCCTTTTCTCAGATTTCTGGCTTTAATCTCAGAATTCTGACTTTTTTTCCTCAGAATTCTGACTTTTTTTCTCAGAATTTTTTTCTCAGAATTCCAACTTTTTTTCTCAGAATTCTGACTTTTTTTCGCAGAATTTTTTTCTCAGAATTCCAACTTTTTTTCTCAGAATTCTGACTTTTTTTTCGCAGAATTTTTTTCTCAGAATTCTGACTTTAATCTCAGAATTCTGACTTTAATCTCAGAATTCTGACTTTTTTTTTTTTCAGAATTTTTTTCTCA